TGCATGAAATTATTTGCCTTCAAACTTTAGACAAACTGTTTAACTTGAACCATTAGGGTTCAACCTTTGGCTTAAATAAAAATCTCACCTGAAACTGTACTCCATTAATAATACAACGCTCTATTATAAATAGGAGTTTGTAGCAGCTTTCAAGACGACATACAAAATGGACCTAGAGAAAAATAATCAAATGTAACATAATTTCTTCTTTCATTGTGATCCTATTGAAAATTTAAGATGCCTTATTTCATATACGTTGTTTAATCGATTAGTTACAATGGATATGTTAGATTAAACAAGACGATATCGATTCTATAAGATTGTCCCAAAAGAAGGGAAGGTAAACCGAAATCGACAGAACTCGATTATTTTAGCTCAAAACTTCCGTCTCATCAGTCATATAACGTCGAATCAACGTTAAATTGAACTCTATTTTGATATTAAATCAACGCTAATTCAACGTTGCTTCAACGTCATTTGCCTGGTGGGCCGTTTTTTGTGGTTCATTACTCATAGGGCACCCGTGCGGCAACTTTACTCTAGGATTTTTAGTTCTTACAATAAATCACCCAATCAATACATTCTATTAGTTTCATTTTAGTTTTTTTGTTCTTCAGTACCTGTTGTGTTCTCCAGTACCTGTACGGCGCCCATGCAGCAACTACTCTATGTTTTTAGTTCTTACAATAAATCCCCCAATCAATACAATAGATTAGTTTCATTGTAGATTGTTTGTGCTTCAGTACCTGTACGGCGCGCACGCGGTGCTGCTAGTGTACGATGTGACTGCGCCGAGCACGCTGGACGTACTGCAGGACTGGGTCGTGGTCGTCAGGAAGGCTGCACGTCATCATGACCGTCCACCTCTCATGGCCCTCGTCGCCAACAAGGCAGATCTTGAACACATCAGACAGGTAAGGAATTATTTTAAAATATAGTTTTCACTTTTTTAACCACTTCGTATTTCAGGGGCCGTACATTGGAAAATTGCTTAAGTGCACTTGGCAGCCATTAGTATATAAGTACTACAAGTAGCGACTGATTTCACGTCTGTAATTGGTGGATTATGTACGATTGAAATCCGTCAGTGAACTGCTGACGGAGTTACGTACTCTTGACTAATTTTGATAGTACGACCCCAGTGCTATCATAAATAGTTAAGAGTTTCTTAATCCGTAAACACATAACAGACGGATATTAAAGCTTAATCCACCAATAACACCCGAGAAATCCGCAGTTACGTGTACCAAAGAAGCTGCGTATATATAAGCAAGTTTTACCTTAGCCAATTAATGCGATTCTAAAAAAAACTGACAATACACAATTACCGAGTAATAAATTTTCTAAGTTTCGTTTACAATTTCTGGGTAGTTGTATAAACAAAATCATTGTACTCACGATGACAGGTTTATATTTGCTAGTAGATTTTTTGCTAGAACGTGAGGCGAATTGTATGAGTATTGTAAGTTTATTTGCAAGAAATTTATTGCACCTGCAAGTGAATTGGGGGCCTTGAATAATTGTTAAGCTTGTCTCATCCGAGCATCAATGGAAATTTTGCATGCAGTCTTTGTAGCTATTTGTAGAAATATCATTATCTAATGCTTAAGTAAGGTATCATCTCGTATGCGCACAATCAATTGAGTGAATGCATCATTTTGTTTGTACATCAAGACGAGTAATTATATAAGAACTTCTCAGAATCTGATAATGTAAGAAATTTATGTTACTTTAGACCATCTTATGCACATAATATTTAGAAAATAATAATATTTTTTCAGGGCGTGTGAGATCGTAACGTTTTTGCAGTACCAGCTTCTGCAGAATTCCTTCACACTTTATGTGCCGAGTACCCAGGAATATTCAGGGTTTACATGAACTAAAATTGTCACTAACACTTTTTTGTACGAGGAATGAGTTATATAACACGAATTAGTGAAATTGAGTCATCTACCCATTTTACCTATTGAAAATATTTGTATGTTCTTTTCTTCAAAACACCTAGAAACATTAAAATTATTTTATGAGCAAAGATATACATCATTTATTTTCCATAATTTATACTTGTTCTTAAAACACTATTTGCCACATAAAAATCTCTTATATTGACGGTATATTCCTAATTATTAATATAATAACATATATCATTATTAACTACCAATAATGATATATGTAATTCATCAGCTGCAGCACAAGATTAATTTCACATGTACAACAAATGAGTCTCCTTACACTAAAAAAATCCTTTTAATCAAATAATATTTTAATCGGAAGAGAAAATAAAAATTTGCAGCAAAAATTCGTGATCTAATTTCATATTTGCATTTGACATCTCAAACAGTCCGAATGAAAACGAAATATTTAGTAGCTTCGCTTTTCAGTTTAGGAAATTTCTTTCAATAAAGCTGTCAAACATACGGAATAACTAAATGCAGATCAATCTTTATTATTTTTCCGTAATTTATTTAGTACCTAAAAATTAGTTTTAGGATTAGGAACCAATAAGGGTTATCTGGTAACATTTTGAGCCTGACATCTCAAAGGCTGAAATCTCTCTTATCAGTAAATAATTGTGCGTTTTTCTTTGCAAGTCCAGAAATTTGATTTGAACCAAAAATCTTTTGGTGTGGTGCAGTGGATCATTGTCATAAATTTTATTGCAAGAAATGAATGACTTCAGCTGTAAAAACTACGTTTATTCCTTTACAATAGGACTTCGTTTCAATAGGTGGAAATATAGTGAGACAAGTGTGGTGACGTAAGACTTTACGCGTGTCCATTTGATGTATCACTCTATTGCAGTCAAGTAAATAACTTTCAATTATTTACAAAGGTAAAGTTTAACTTATGGCATTAACTTATGGCAGGTCAAGAGCGAGAGACATCACAGGTTCGCAGCCGACCACAACATGCTTTCTTACGTCATGTCAGCGAGAACTGGTGAAGGCGTTGCGCTCACCTTCCAGAAGGTAAGAAGCATAATTATGATTAGAAATGGTTTAAATTCCAGAAGGTAGGAAGCTTAATTATAATTCAAAAGGAATTAAATTACAGAAGGTAGGAAGCTTAATTATAATTCAAAAGGAATTAAATTACAGAAGGTAGGAAGCTTAATTATAATTCGAAATGGTTTAAATTTCAGAAGGTAGAAAGCTTAATTGTAATTTGAAATGGTTTAAATTTCAGAAGGTAAGAAGCTTAATTATAATTTGAAATGGTTTAAATTTCAGAAGGTAGAAAGCTTAATTATAATTCGAAATGGTTGAAATTTCAGAAGGTAGGAAGCTTAATTGTAATTCGAAATTGTTTAAATTACAGAAGGTAAGAAGCTTAATTATAATTCGAAATGGTTTAAATTACAGAAGTTTGGTAGCTTAATTATAGTTCGTTCGAAATGGTTTAAATTCCTGAAGCTAAGAAGCTATTAATTTCAAATGCTTTACATTCACTCGAGGTACAATTTCCAGTATTACATACTTAATATAATAATTGTTAGCTACAAATAAAATTATCTAAAGGCGAGTTATTCTTTAATTACGCTGAAGTAAAATAATTTATTTGTTATGTATGATTGTTCTTCATTTACGAGTAGCATTTGAAAATAAGATGTAAATTATTATGTTGCATATTAAAATGCGCAATTATACTGAGACCGCTACGTAGCAAATTCACTATATAATGCACTAATGAAACTAAATGGGTCATATTATCCTAATAAGGACACACTTTCATACGCACAGTACGAGCAAAGAACGGATGTAGCGTTAATATCATTTCGCCGAGCTAAGCTGCGACAATAATATGATCCATAGAAGCGCAAAGCGTGAATCGCTATTTAATTGACAGAGTCTGATTCAATTCTCTGAGTAATAGACAATTGTCATGATGTGAATTATTTTAAGTTATTTATTTGAGTAAAGATTATTTATTGATTTATTTCTTATAACGTGATGGTACGGCAAGCGAAAATCAAAACCGTAGCAGCTGCAGTCCAATAGAAAAGTTTCTTAATTTTTTACATGTCAAATCTGTGTTTTACGCGAAAATTTCAATACGCAATCCAAATATATATACCTGCTTAATTATTATACTTCTCATAAATCACTGTCATGTTGCAGCATAAATAACGCTCAGGCCGTGAACTCAAAAACAGAGTTGCTGCAGCTCATGTTGAA